GATGAGCTAAGGGCCAAGGGCCTATGCTTCAACTGTAAACAATCAGGACACTTAGCGAAGGACTGCCCAGTAACTAAAGAGACCCTGAGCATGAGCGCGCACTCCATGAACATAAATGAACTAGAAAGTTTGATAGAGGGAGATTGCTCAGGAAACATCTATGCAATAAGCTTATCAATGATGAGCAAAGCGGATTATATTGAAGCTAATGCTGCTAAATCTAGAGGGGACAAACTCCGAAAGGAGGGTGCAAAACTAACTGACGGTCTTGAGCACACAACTGCCACTCCCAAAGATGTTACACGCATCCTACCAAAGGGAATGGTGATTAAAGCACAAGTTAACAGTCATATTTGCCGAACCCTCATAGACTCTGGTTCACTGGCTGATTTTATTTCCACTACATGCGTAGACCAACTCAAAATCCCAACGACAAAACTATCAACCATCCTCCCCATCCAACTGGCAGTTACAGGCTCAAGGGTCAATGTCCAACTGGAGGCATCAGTTTCATTCAAATATGAAGACATTAACTGTACAAAGCGGTTTGATGTGATGAACATTCATGACTACGATGTCATTTTAGGTACCCCTTTCCTATACCAACATTCCGTGCTACTTGGACTTAACCCACCATGACTGCGGATCGGATCCGCAAATCCACTACCCCTTAGGAAGGAAGACTCGGTGGTGATACCATCCGTGACTTCCATGCTGATTGACCGCAACTTAGAGAAACTGAGGCAGATGCTTAGAGAGGAAGCAGCCCACCTATGTAAGCCTTTTGATGAAACACCCCTACCACCTTTACATGATATTAATCACAGAATCCCACTCAAGGATGAAAACAAGATTTACAGATTCAGACGGGCAATGTGCCCGGAACCACTGCACACATTATGGGAGAAAAAGCGCGATGTCATGTTGAAATCAGGCCGATGGGTCTACTACAACGGAACAAACAGAATGCCATTACTGGTACTCAAGAAAAAACCAGGATCCAACGGGGAAGTCCGCATCTGCACAGTGATAGACAAGCGTGAGATTGATGAAAACACGGTCCCGATGTCATCTCCACTCCCAGACATAAGAGCTATACTAGATAGAGTGGCTTGGCATAAATTCATGTCTATAGTAGATGGACGAGATGCCTATGAACAAATGAGAGTTGACCCCGCAGATGAGGTAAAGAATTTAATAATCACTCTGGACGGTGTGATGAAGAGTCGGGTCATGTGCCAAGGAGACAAGAACGCTGCTGCAACATGGCAGATGACCATGTGTCACATGTTTGGCCCATACATAGGGAAATGGGTAGACCCGTATCTGGATGACATAATAATCTATTCCAATTCAATGTCAGGGCATGCCCGCCTGACCCCGCGCCGCACCCCGCGCCGTACTGCACTACCCCGCTATCACTCCCCCTCTCTCCTCCCCCACTTTCCCCTTTCTCTCTATCTCTATTTCTATTTCTATCCTATGGTCGATTTCCCTTTCTCTATGTAGTTCCTCGTCCAGAATTTGGCAGTACAGGTCCCCATCCATCTTCCCATCAATCTTGCATGCCATTCCAACCCCATCCCAGGTCATACAACCCCATACCATGATGGAACCTCCACCAAACTTTTTTGTGCCTTGCACCAACCTGTCAGTGAGAGGCTCCCCCACCCACTTTCACACCCATTTCCTCCCATCTGAGCCCAGACGATTCACCTTAGTCTCATCAGACCATACAACTCTCTTCCAGTCCTCTAGAGTCCACTCCTTGTGGCTGAGGGCAAAATCCATCCTGTCCCTCTTGTGATGCCTGGTGAGCATAGGTCTTTTTTTCTTCACCACTGCTTTCCAACCAGCTTTTTTGAGCCCTTTACATACAGTCTCAATGGAGAGGGATGTGTCATTGATGTTTCGGAGTATTTGGGTGACTTGGGATGAGTTGTCAGCCTTCCCAGAGTTGATGAGACGACAAGCATGGCAAATATCAGTGTCAGAAAGCTTGGATGGATGACCACCACTGGGCTTGGGAACATCAGAACGGTGTGTAGACCATAGGCGAGTGACAGTGGAGTAATGGTGGCCAGTAAGAACTGAGATTTGGCAAGCACTATGGCCAGAATCAATGAGGGAAAGGATTTGTTCAACTTTTGAAGTGGCTAAAGGGTGCATTTCGGATTTGGGGCCTTATCATGTGAAGTCCTTCAGTATTTATGCTTTATTAATGTCATTTTGTTTACTAGTGTGTACAGTAAACAATATCACATGACATGTCACATGATATTCCTATTTTTCTGTTCAGCCTGGGGGTACTCCAATAAACTGTTGCAATGACCTGGGTAGTTTGTAAATTACATAACATTACCAAAAATGGGAATATTGCTTACATAATTGGCAGATCTTTAGATGAGATACTTTCCCATGTTCTGAATATTTTTTTAAAGTTTTCAAATACATTTTCATTGTGCTATAAGGTCATGAGTTGAAAAGTGAAAAACATTGCAACGGTTTATTGGAGAACTGTATATGAGACCGCCGAACTCAACGAGTTCGGCAAAGTCAAAGCTCCAGTTGACATAACAATCGACCCCAACTTCCCCATGAGGAGAATAGCGGGGTCAGAAGCGGCGCATGACGCCGCATACGCTTGGTGGACAAGCGTGAGTGGGAAAGAATTCATACACTGGTACGAACAGGCTGAAGCCGCCTTCAAAAGCGGCAAGGTACACAGAACCCTTCGCGAAAAAGCGAAGGAAACCGAGAAATACTTCTTGGGACTCCCGAGTATCGCAAGACTTGCAGAGGAATATAATTCCCCAGAGAATAAGGGAAAAATCTCCTGGGAAAGTCTAGGCAAAGCTGCCTACTTAAAGTCCCAGTTCAAACCACTCAGAACTCCTGAGGAACGTGCCACAAGAACTGCGGAACGGGAAGCGAAAGCTTCCAAATACCGGGAAAGAGACGCAAGTCTCCGTGCTGGACAACCAGTCCAACGACCATCCTTCCCCACGGGAAGAACGGTAGACCTACCATACTCTACACCTGAGCCAAGCAGCTCAGGAACACAACAACCTGCTCCCACCCAGGGAGCACCCACTTTGTCAAGCCCACAGCCCGACAATGTAGCCCAGGCTACGTCATCGCATCCGACACAGCAATCGGATGTCCAGATGAACAACCCGGAGGAAAACCCTCCTCTGGGGCAATGAATCCACCCTTGAGAGAAGGGAAGTGACATGGTAATACGCCATCGAGGCGCCCGTGAAAACACCTTCCCCCAACTCGAGGCCCTGCACACAATACTGTATGCGAGGAACTGCAAGTAACAATTGCGGAAATCTCCACCCCGTCCAAAGACCCACATCCACCACCGCTCGTGTGTAAACACCACTTACACATGAACCCTCACAGAACAAGTGAGGAACACCAAAGACATACAACCTTTGGGTCGAAATTCATTTTCGACAAACTCCACCATTTTTTTCTCTTCTCTCCCTGCGATACCAATGTATCGCCATTCACTTCAAAGTAACGGCCCACACTCATTCATTCCTTAAACCCCCTCTCTTTCCTTCACTGACATGTACAAAATTGCCCACTTTAAAGTGGCGACAACAAAACACTCATTGATAATTCCAAACTCAATGTAAATCAACTATTAAAACTCTGTTTTATTCACTATCAACCTTGTATGCGTCGCAAATGCAACGCAAGGGGGGAGAATGTCAGGGCAATAGCCCCAAACCCCAAGTCACATGTAAATTAGATACATATAGTCACGTGGGCAAGCGGGAACCTCCGGGTAACTGCTTACACACCACCGTAAAATACACTATCTTGTATCACTTACAGCCTTGTGTGCTGAGCCACCCTAAGACCTCACAACCAGCCAGTGCGACCATACGGACCACACCCTGAAGAGTGCCATTTATGTCGCAGCATGTTATAATGAGGGTTTTTCTTCACTGGAACCATACTTCCTCTTCGAACTTCACCTCAATTTTTCTCCTCAGCTGCCCAGCAGAAGACTGAAAGGAATTATGTGGGGTCCTGTCAGCTCCCCATGGCCCATGGGCCGGTAAGCCTTTGAATGGGGATTATATCCATAGCGCACCTCAGATCCTGGCAGTGGTTCAGCTGCGTTGCCATCTGTTCCAAGGCTGGTCAATGATGCAAATGAAATTGCGTTGTGGAGCACCCTTTACCTGATAGATACCCTTATAGCTACACTCTCTGAGATGCCTTTTGAATTTCCTTGGTGGGTAAGTTGGAAATGTGTTAAGAAATCGTAGTGCTTCGCTTTAGACATCATCATCCCTTTGTTATTAGGAATGTATCGGTGGCTCATTGCTAGGCTCTATAGAAGTGGTAGGTCACGCTTTTCATCGGTAACGAAAATCGCTATCATCGCCTTCCTCTAGGCAATATTCCCCTTCACTTATGCTAGTCGCTGTGAATGTTCATCAGGCTTCGATCCTACTCAATGCCAAATGGACCTCTAGGGATGACACAGATCAGTGTATTGCATGACATTATCATAATGAAACCATGAATTGGCTCAGCGTCTTTCTCAAGCATCAGGACCATAACACAGCTTTGTAACACCCCCTTGTGCCTCTGTAATTGTGCCTGAGTGGGTCGTCCCAATCAGTGATGCCAGGGACATGTGCTTGTCGAAGAATATCAACCCATTCATTGCTATTCACTGCGCGATGGCATGACGGACACAGCCCTGAACACAGATGTTTCCGATTCTCAGGATTCCAAGACTGGTAGAGCCACTTGTATGGGCGTTGCGGCTGAACTAGGCTAGCACTGTGCAGGAAGAGGAAGATGTTGGAGGAAGGGATCAAGTGATCTCCCAAACCATCAGGGAAGGGGTACCCCCCCCCTGGCATAACGGGCAAGTAGTGTATGGATGCACGCTAGAAGTCCTGGGTTCGATACCAGGCTTGTCCATTTTATGTCATTTGTCCAGTCACGCTGGTTTACGTCATAAGAATTTGGAGCTCCAGATAAGTCCAGTAGTCGCACCGGATACAAATTTCCTCAGAAGAGAGATACAATGATGTGGTTCCATATGACTCCTGTTGTTGCAACACCATTTCGATGTGTTATTCATTAATATCGATCGCGCTATTATCGCTTCTGAGCTCATGGTCACTCGCAGCCACAAGTTACACTGCAAACATAGAGTTCAGCCTAGCAAAGTTCTCGAAAGGGATTATTGTTACTAATTCACGATCAATGCGTCAAAACAGAACCAATTCCGATTGCAATTGCTCAATTGACGGCAGCAGGAACATAATTGGGAATCGGACCCATATCTGGAATCTGTTGCAATGACAGGCATCATGTTCATGCCCACTCTTCCTGCATGTCTGTCGTCTCGATAGAGTTGGAACACCCACCTGGCTGCTTTGATAAATCAGACAGAGGTAAACAGTTGCTAGTCTGGTGGGTCAGAGAAAATCGGGAAGAGGAGAGTGAGGGACTCCATTGTGTAGAGGGTATGTTCCACCTTTCATCATAGATTTTGCATGAGAGTGCGTATATCTGCTAACTCATGACCCCTTCCAAGACCTTCCAACGGAGCAGCCATATCGGCATATAACCCTCGAAGATAATTTGCATAGATGTCAGGGTATTCAGAACGAAGCTGATGAGAGCATAATCTCGCCTCTTCCTCGATATCAAATGCTTCTGCATAGTGCCCCAGGCGTGAAAGTATCCTGGATAGATCCCGCAATGCCCAGGCTAAATCAGCGGCATATGAGGTCGGATGAGTAATGTGTAGAGAACGCCAAAGAGAAATGGATTCTTTGATGAAAGGAACTGCTTCGGTGGGGCAATTGAGGTAATCGAATGAGAGAGCGAGATTGTGGAGTGATCGAGCCAAATCGGGGTTGTATGATGTGGGATGAACAGAAACGAGCTTGCGCCAGAGCTTGACACATTCTTTGATTGTGGAGAGTGCCTCGGAATAACGTCCCAGATTATCCAATGATATCTTGAGACAGTTGAGCGATCGAGCCAAATGTGGGATGTATGACATGGGATGAACAGCAATGAGCTCACGCCAGAGCTTGACACATTCTTCGGTAACTGGGAGCGCCTCGGAATGACGTCCCAGTCTATCCAATGATACACTTAAATTATGGAGCGATCGAGCCAAATTTGGGGTGTATGATGTCGGATCAATAGCAACAAGCGCACGCCGGAGCGTCACACTTTCTTCAATTATCGGGTGCGCCTCGGAGTAACGTCCCAGATTTTCCAATGATACGTAAAAATTGTGGAGCGATTGAGCCAAATCTGGTGTGTATAACATCGGATCAATAGCAACGAGCTCACGCCAGAGCTTCACACTTTCTTCAATCATCGGGAGCGCCTCGGAATGAAGTCCCAGATTATGCAATGATATCATAAGAGTGCTGAGTGATCGAGCCAAATCTGGAGTGTATAGCATCGGATCAATAGCAACGAGCTCACGCCAAAGGTTCACACTTTCTTCAATCACCGGGAGTGCCTCGGAATGATGTCCCAAATCATTCAATGATACGTCAAGACCATTGAGTGATCGAGCCAAATATGGGATGTAGGACTCTGAGTCTGCCGACACAAGGCAACGGCAGAGGGTTACGGAATCCTTTGCCAACTCATGTGCCTCCTGAAATCTTGAAAAGAATGCCAGATTTTGTCTCACTTTGTCAAGTACTTGGATCAACTTGTGAATATCTTTCTTTGAATTCCGATCAACGTTCAACTGAAAGTGAACAAGCCTGAATAAGAATTCCTTATAAGCCACACTGATATTTCATACCTTAGCCCACTTGGGAAATGAAGATACACTGATGTACCCTTCTGTTCTCACACAAACCTCCACCCAGCGTGCTACATGTTGATTCATAAATGTGAGAACCGATCCACTGAGCACCTCTTGTGGCTCCAGAACAGTTTTGAGGTGGTGCACGATATACCGACATGAGTAACGGAGTTGTTCCAACTGCATCTCTTGAGATATGCGTGGCAATTCATCCTTTTCGGGAAGATCTTCGATCAGCCCCAAACCCTCCACACAGCAAAGATCCTTATTCAAGATCTCGGTACAGCGCAGGGCTATCTTGGCATTCACCTCTCTCGTATCCACCGTGTAATGATGATGCACAAGTGATTTGGGACCGATTTGGCCCATGAGAAAGTCACGGAACGACTGATGAATGATGCGAATTGGTGTGTCGGAATGGGGAATCCCTAGTAAGAGGGGAGCAAGTTCAACCAACGTGTCATGGATGGAAGAGTTTAAGAACGGCGACAGAATTGCATCCCACGCCGCGATAGACAGCGGTTGTTCGGCAATCAGAATCGCCCCCATAACGATGGGGTAGTCATGCACAAAATCTTCATCCTCCCAATCACATTTTTCCAGAATGGCCGTATACAACGTACCCATCACTCCTTCAGGAGAATCCATTGATCGAAAGGCACCTGTGTTGAGCAGCTTATTCAGCGTTTTCCTCGGCTTTTTGGCCAGTCTAACACAGCGGAAGACAGTGCTGATCCAAATGAACAAGCCACCGGCTTTTTCTGATAGGTCTTGAACCAATGAGTCTTCCTCAAATTCATCTCCCCGACCTGAATGACCATCCTTTAGACAACGCAGCTGCGCGCGGATGTAAACAGAGCAGTCTTGTTTATTGGCATTATTCAAGATGTCTATGCCAAGTCGGTCGATGGGAAAATTGGGTGAAAGAAGACGATCCACGAGATGAGTTTGTCTCGACGTCACAAAGAACTTGATGGTGGATGGTAATTTTGGCACTTCCTTCCGAAGTATCTCGGCAAGGCGTTCGAAGTCTCGCGGCTCACACTCGTCCAAAGCATCAACAATTACCACCAGAGGACCGCCTGCAGGCAATCCCCTCAGGCGGAGAGGCTTAGCCACGAGCTTCTCGAATTGCACGGTGAAGGACGCAGTCATGAGGGCTGGATCTTCTTTGAGAATGGATATAACAGAGGCGCGGTATGAGTGGTCACGCGTTGCTAGAGATCGGGCCATGCTGCTAAACAAATGGTCCGGCTGCGACTGCTCGCCTGCCTTAAAGAAAAACGTCAACAGCAGCAGCCCTTCGCTCTCACACTTCTCTGCGATTGAATGGGCAACGGAAGTCTTGCCAGCCCCGGCCACAGCTGTCAGCAGCATCACCTGCTTCTCCCCGTCCTCCACGTTGCGAACCCAGGTCATGATATCGTTGGCGAGGTCTGTCCTGGTTCCCTCCAGGCACGCCTCATCTGGGTCATGATGGGCGATGGTCGGATATCGCAGTCCACTCAAAACCGAGTCACTCTCCAAATGGCTTTGGTTATTTGCTATGTTTGTTAGTATGGCACCAGTTGTTAGGTTAGTTCTCAACTACATGATGCGGAACAGTCAGGAATCAGGATAGCAGAGCAATGCGAGAAAGAGTCACCTGAAATGATGTCAACGCTTTGTCCAGAACTTTCTTGAAGTCATCAATCCTTCCCGGATGCTTCAGCAGTGAGAGGTAGTTGGTAACAGCGTGACGCTTCTTCATTTTTGCGAGCATTGGCACGATTTCGGCAATGATCTGTTTTAGCGCGCTGCGGAGTAGCACGTAAATGGGATAGCCAACCGACCAAGAATCAATAGTACGCACCTGTCCAGCTTCTTGACGTTCTCTAGCCAAGGTTTTGCCTCTTCCGTTGAAGTGTCATAGGGTTCGATCGCCGCTAGCACATCCGCTACAATATCAACCACATATTTCCCAAATTCCTTCCATTCCTCCTTATCTGACTTGAATTTCTGGATGTTACGAGTAATGAGCCATGGTTCCTGATTCAACATAACCCATTACTTACTTGGACCTCACTGAAGATGAAGAGGGCGGCGCTAGCGGGACCTTTTAGGGGCGGGAATACATCGGATGCGACGTTAATGGCTGTGAGAACTGGGATGGCCATATCACCTCCTGCTGCAAGAAGGCGATCAACATCCCGTCTGAGAGCGTTGGCCTTCTCCTTGAGCGACATCGTTGATGGGGGACAGATCAGTGCAGAGCGGTAATGCGGTGGAAGTGAATAAAATATATGCTGCACTGCTCAAGAGCCATAATGGTCGACATGAGGTACCGCGCCGTCCATTGGGTTACTTATGGAAGGTGAACGCGAGTTTATCCGATGGGGAGTTTTGATATTGCGATCCGCCATTAGGAAGAAGTGTGTTACACTCGATCGTCCTGGTTGTGCAGGACGAGCACAACTTGAAGCGAGATAAGCAGCTGCACTGTCAGCTCTGGAATCCCAGAATCATGATCGTGTGAATCCCATCAATGAATTACTCAAGACATGTCATTCGGCCGGGCCCGATGTCCCGGTGGCGCCCACCGACGACCAACACATACACTGACGTTGTGACTTTGGATCGATCACATCGGAGTCCCTTTTCTTCGGGCTTCTCTGGGCAGCAAACCTCTTCTTTTCCGATCTTGACTCCACCCACGGCCGCGTCTCTTTCCACTTACCTCAGCCCTGATAGCTTCACTCTCCGCCTCTGACATACTCCACGCTATATTCTACTTATCCCTAGGAAGTGTTTCCCCCAGGGGTCAGGAAACAAATTTACCTGTCTGCGTTCGCCCAAGTCACAAAATTGGAACCGAAGGACATGGATACGACAAGTATTTCCTCAACAAGGTGTCAAGGTCTAAATCACTCAATTCGCCAACACAACAACCCGGCCTTCAGGAACGAAATAATAGCTATGAAATATACTTTGTTCCCCCCAAATCTATTTGGTCTCGCGTTTTATCGTGCTCAATTCTCCGATCTCTTAAGGAACGCTGGTACTCTCCCAGTGCTCTCTGTTGAGTTGTCAGAATGCTCATATCTAACAGCGACGAGTCCCGGCGACTCGGAGCCTGTCTGGTTCACCAGCAACAGTAGAATATCATTGTTTCTCATGTTGTCCTCCTTTGGGGGCTTTTTGCTCGTGTCTGTTTTTTATTCAGGGCAAAACGTACCATGCCATGCCTTCATTCAAGTCCGTGTGTTCTCTCACTTCCTTCCGGCTCCAAACCAACGGAGAGCTACGGTCATGATATCAGCGGGAATGAAGCATAAAGTAGGCATTGAGCAGACTCCTTCCATTCATTCTTAACTGACTTGAATTTCTGCGTGTTACGAGTGATGAGCATCGATTCTCGATCCACCGCAATGCATTATTTACTAGGACCTCATTGAGGATGAAGAGTGCGGCGCTTTCAGAGGAGGGAATGCATCGGATGCAGCATTGATGGCTGTGAGAATCGGGACGGCGATGTCGCCTCCTGCTGCAATAAAGCGATCAACATCCTGTCTGAGAGTGTTGATCTTTTCCTTGAGCGACATCGTTGACGGGGGGACAGATCCAGTGGAGAGCGGCAATAATGCAGTGGCAGTGGAGCAAATATCTGCTGCACTGCCCAAGAGCCATGTTGTTGGCATTATCTGTTGGGGAGTTTTGATGCTCAAGATATTGGGAAGAAAGAGAATATGCATGTCAAACTCGATCGTCCTGGTTGTGTCTAGCTGGTAACCTGCCTACTGCTTGTGCATTAGCAATAGGATGAGTACAACTTCAACTTGCCGTGATGCCAATTCTGGATCTCACAATCATGATCGCGTGAATCCCATCATTGCGTCGCTGGAGTGAGGCAGCCCCACACCGATTGATACCAACCCTTTTAACAAATCCACCGATCGCAACACTTACAACTGTGACTTGGATGATCCAAGTCCCTTTTCTTCGAACCTCTCCGGATACTCTTGCTATGAGAATCTTTTCACTGTTTGCAGCGCCCCACGAAACGAGCATTCCTCACGACGGAGATGGGGTTGCACTTCCCATGGAAGAAATAGAATGATGAGAACACGATTATACATCTAAATTATACCGTATCGGAGATGCAAGCGAAGGAGCGTGCTGCGAATCGATCACCTCTAGCCACAGGAGAGGATTACTCTACTTCTTTTCTAAGAATTTTTGGTATGCCTTTTGCATGTCGGCTTGTACATTGGGTAAAACAGGCTCGTGCGTCTAAGGAGAAAGTGCGTCAGCGGTTGATATTGGCCTTGGATGGCGAACAATACCTTGTATTCCATAGAGAATTCGCCTAAATGTGCAAGTATCAAAAGAGGGCCACATGTAAAGCATGCAATGGCACAGACCTTTCCCCTGAGTCATTCCACGCAACTGACTCGAGTAACCAAACATGTCGTTTAACGCCACGTCTGCTGTGACGGTGAACTCATCGTCCCTAACCTCTGTATCAATGATTGTCCCACGGCGCTGGTTTATCCCACCAATGACAGCGCCTTGAAACTCTACGGGCGCGATCACTTCGACCGACATGATTGGTTCCAAGATAACAGGGTTCGCTTTCTTGTAAGCTTCCCGGAATGCACCGAATGCCGCTAGTCGGAAGGCCAGTTCGGAGGAATCAACAGCATGAGCAGCACCGTCCATCAATACAAAACGAACTCCTGACACTTGGTGCCCAGAGAGTGTCCCTTTCTTCAGAGCATCTAAGAAACCCTGCACGATATCGTATTTAGTGCTAAATTGAAGTCCTGGAGGGGGACGTTAGGCACCTGTTCACAAGCTGGTATGTACCCGGTTGGGATGTTACCACCCGTAACCAGGTTCTCAAAGCCCACGTCTTTTCCACTATCTTCATCCTTTTCCATGGGTTCAATATACCCAACTACACGGCCAAACTGGCCAGCACCTCCAGTTTGCTTTTTGTGCGTATATGAAAAATCTGCTTTGGTGGTTACTGCTTCACGGAAAGCAACTCGAGGTTTCCCGGTGCTGCAAGCAACGTTGTACTCTCGCATCATACGCTCCACATAAATTTCAAGATGAAGCTCCCCCATCCCAGATATGATCGTCTGCAAGCTTGCATTACAACTAAAGATGGCGCCCACACGTGAAGAATACATACCTCTTGACTTTCTGGATCAATGTGCACGCGGAAGGTGGGATCTTCCTTCTGGAAGCGATTCAGAGCTCGCGAGAAGTTGGGGGTCTCCTGGCCGACCGGCTTGATCGCAAGGGAAATGACGGGGTCTGGAACAAACATGGACGTCTGATCGTGATGGGAAATGATATATACTATTGAGGAATAATTGTATGTGACTAACCATGGAGTATGAGTTGGACCCGTCACTGAAAGTATCTCCAGAAGAACACTCAACTCCGAACATGGCACAAATTTCTCCTGGTCCGATTTCATTGACATCCTGTTGAATATGAACACATGCACATAAAGAAATGAAATGGATCCCACCTCCATGTCATTACTGTGCATTCGTACCAAGCGAGGGACCTTCAATTTCTTCCCCGAACGGACGTTGTAGATAACCGCGCCCTTCCTTAAAGCCCCTTGATAAACTCGCATGTACGTGAGCTGTCCATAACGACCTTCTTCTAGTTTGAAGGCGAGGCCGACAAGAGAGGCGTCGGCCGTGGGAATCAATGGTACCGGCTGACTGTCCGGATTAGGTTTGGTCGTGTCCAGTGCAGTCACCTCAGCCTCCGATGGGTTCGGAAGGTAAGAACAGACACCGTCAAGCATTGGTTGGACACCAGTGTTCTTGATTGCTGAACCGAGGAAGACTGGAGAGAATTTTAATCCGATGGTGTTACGACGGATAGCATCCACAAGATGGTTCGAGGTAATCTCTTCCTCTGCGAGAAACAGATCCGCAATTTCCTCGTCCACGTCAGCGAGCGCTTCGATAAGTTCTTGCCGCTTGGCTTTTGCCTTCTCAACTACGTTGGGAGGTATAACGTCAGACTCAACGACGTCAACTCTGCAATAAACCACATCTCAGATGTAAAAGTGGAAACGGTGCTGTAGAGATCAACATACCCTTTGACGCCTTCGTTGTAAATGGCTTTCCAGCGAATGAGATCTACCACCCCTTTGAACTCCTCTTCAGCCCCTATGGGCACTTGGACAGCGGCAGCCGGAATTTTCAGTTTGTTGCGTAATTGGGAAATGACCCGATCAGGGTTAGCACCAGCCCTAACCCAAAAAGCCCATTAGATGATAATAAAAGAGTGAATCAACCCGGGTTGAACCTATCCATTTTGTTGATGAACGATATACGAGGAACATTGTAGCGTCTCATCTGACGATCAACGGTGATAGTTTGGCTCTAATATCAATCCTTCAGCATGATCCCATGCCTGTTGCTGAGACTGAATCACACCTGAACTCCTGAAACAGCGCAAAGGACTAATACCGCACCATCTAGAACCCGTAGGGCCCGCTCAACTTCGATGGTGAAATCAACGTGTCCTATCAACGGTATTCAAGCCACGAATTACAGATCTAAACGGAAATTCGGCACCCACCCGGGGTATCAATGATATTAATAGCGTACTTCTCCTTGCTCCCTGTTATAGGGTGTGTGGCATTCCAATCGCAAAACGTTGCAGCACTCTGAATAGTGATGCCCTTTTCCCTCTCTAGCTCCATACTGTCCATTTTAGCGCCAACTTCGTCCCTGCCCCTGACCTAATTTCATCCATTACAGCGAGTTTGCTTTCAGGAGGTATGATCCAACTAACCTCATGGATTTCTCGTATCCGTCCAGTGTAATAGAGAATTCTTTCTGTAAGGGTTGTCTTTCCAGAGTCAATATGAGCCGATACACCGATGTTACGTTGACGCATCAATCGACCAAGGTCAGCATCTGCCAATTGGAACTGAGTCGTTGAGGTCTCTCCAGAACCCGTTGATGGTTTTCGCTTTGATTTCGCTGCAGTTGCAGCAGACGCATTACGACGTCCGGTCGCATGAATCCGGGATCCTAGATTTGTTCGGTCCGGGAGCACTGAGGAGCGGCGGAACACAAACGAGCATCGAGAAAACCACGTTTCAAGCATTATGAGAACGAAATAATAGGACACTCCTTGAGCACCAGTGCCCCAGAAAGATGGGCTCCTTTGCGGCGCGGGGAGTGAGACTGCTTCAGCCCTTGCAGAGATTCGTGGGAAGAATGGGAAAATTTGTTCTTGGATAGCCACCCACACGTGAGGCCTTCTCGATGTCTATCCGTGTTGAGGATCTCGAGCTACCGCAGCTAGCTGAGGTTAAAAAGCAGCTAGATGATGTTTGTGATCAATCCAACGGGGACTCTTGACTTCTGACTTTTTCCAAATAGGAGTTGGCACATCTGACAAACTCGTTCAGCCAACTGAAGCAAGCACAATCCAAATTCAAGGCTTGTGTCGAGAACGTCGCTGAAATAAAGCCTGCTAACAAAAGTAGGCCCCCCAAACTTACAGCTATGTGGGAAATTTTTGCTAGCCTTCTTTAATCTTCATGTTCAGATAACATCATATTGGTTCCCCTCACCAATTCCCTTTACGTGCCTGGGAAGCTGGCGGATTCGGAAAACGTTATCGTAGATGTAGGAACTGGCTATTATGTGAAGAAGGCAAGTTCCTTGCATTGTTGGGGCGTATAAGATCAACTGACGCCCGATTACTAGAGACGAGCCGATGCAACTAAGCACTATGGGAGCAAAATTGATTTTGTGCGAAAGAACCTCGACAGTCTTGAGGAAACGATCCAAAAGAAGCAAGAAAACTTGAATATTTTACTAGCTGTTATGCAACAGAAGATGGCTGCTCAACAACAGTGATCGCGAGATTCACACACGGCGAGGAAATACCAGCTTCTCGTTCACAAGTCACCACATTGCTCACTGTCGTTGTACATGATATGCATTCTCCGTCGCGTTCACTTCTACCTAAGACGCTGCACCATTCACCTTACTACGATCACCCTTCAAACCTGAACACTTCGTCGCAATCGAACCACCATGGTCCGTCTTTGCTCCCAGTCGCGCCATCGACGACGCTATTCTGCATCCTATCTGTAATGCCCCACCACTGTAGTGTGTCTGCATCCCCTGCCACCATCTTCATATCTTCATCAAAGTTGTCTCCGACGTATTTAAACGTCGCAATCAGAAGACCAGCAATTGCGTCGACCCCTTCCCTTTCACCATTAGGAAGGTAAGGTGGCGTTGGGAGGAAATGTATGGAATAATCAACGATATGGGCTCGTTGAAGAGTGGCGAGGACTGAAGGCCAAACATGAGCATGGATCTGGTAGTCACGACTTTAGCCTAAACATCGGTGCCCACTGCCCACTCGACGTAATCATACTCACTTTCTTGTACTCTTCGAGTGAATTTGCCTTGAGTTCTATTACTTGGCATATTCGCCGGCCAGAATCAGTGCCTTTGATGGACATCTTGCATATTCATCACCACTTAATTGTGGGCTTTGGGGGTTTGCAAACATACAGTCTGCTCACAGCCAGAGGGAATGTCCCCGAAAATGCACCTTCAAGCGTTCCACCGCGTTGGCGATCTGTGGATCGAGAAGCACCTGGAGCTGGGTTGCCTTTGATGGCTGTGCTTTAAATTGGATCGTAATTCACGATAGGCAACACGTGAACAAATCAGTCTCTGAATCAAGTGCTCGTTATAGAGTTTCGACAGCCTCAAGCACTGACACCACCAACGATGGATGCGAAACCATTCCTTCCGGGCACTCATGGCGTTCTCAGTCACGATGAGCTAGGTCTAACCTTGAACAGACCCGCGCCTGATTTATCATTCACTCTCCACACCTTTCCCACATCTCACATGTACGCACGCCCTGATCACGCAGGTATCAAGGGTGTACGCCTCGTTGCGCTTGGAGATGTGTCTGAAGAGAAAAGAGATTATGGATATAACCAGAAAGTATACTGGATTCGAGACCAACAGACTGTAATCATCGGTCGGGCACCGCAGCATCGTGGGTCTCGGCAGCTGGCGCCAAACACCTATGCGCTTCCTTGCCCCGTAATGTCGCGAGAACATGCTATTATAGAGATGCGAGATGGACTAGTAAGCTCTCGGGGCGCTTTGAAATGCACGTTGTCCACGCCGAATTGACCGAGCTTCGCGCAGGTACATATGACGGATTCAAATTCACACCACGGAACGTGGTGCCTTGGCTCTTCCGGAATTACAGAGAGAATCAAGCAGCCTCGTATCGTGCAAGACGGCGAAATATTTACCTTTGGCAAGACAGTCGAGAAGAACGGCCAGGTATGTCCGGTGACGGTGACGACTCCTTTCCCCCCCGCTAACTTTGGAGGAACCTCTAACCATTCAGCTCTACCACCCTGAAAAAGTATCGATCAAGCTCGTTTACGACGATGTTTACCCTGACGAAGAAGCCGGGATTGGGAATGGATACGACGACGTCAGGTAATGACTCAGCCTCTCCTATTTACTCGCTACTTAACGTTTCGCAACATAGTCAAGGCGCCCCTCATACGAATCGTTACGGCCTCCTTGACGACGAAATGTCGGACGTAGATTCCATTTATAACGACAGCGCCGAGCATACCCCAAGTCAGTTCGTCTCCCATTTCGCAGACGGATTCTTGGATGTTATTGGCAATGATGGCCCTGAAGAACCATCGAGCGCCCCTCCTTGTAACCCTTGCAGCCCGGGGAGCCCCTCGCCTATTCTGAGTTCTTCGTGCTATTCCACTGGGGACGTGGATCGTCAAGTCGTCCTTTCCAAACCTGTTTCTTCCATCCGTAACCTTCTCCATTACGACTACGATTTGTCCCACGAGCCTTCACCTGCGCCTTCACCATCTCAGCACGAGGAGGACATGATTATGTCGGGTTCTGAGGCCAGTGATTCTGAGAGCTCTGAGTCTGAGGATTCTCTGTTAGATGACTTTTATCCGCAGCAACTTGAGGTATTCTTTCACTTAGATTTATGTCATCCTCTTGAGTTCTGAAAACATTATCTCAAGGGGCCATTTATTTCTGGGAAGGTTGGTGATATGAAAGAGAGCCTCAAAGTCGAAGGGGCCTCCACGACGCCGCACACCGAGAAGGTATGTCGTTTCTTTTGATCGACGTGTGTTTTCGTATGTCTCATGCACTCCCCAGAGAATCGCAGATCTGGAGAAGAAGCTAGCAGAAGTTGCAGCTGACTTGGAATGCACTTTCCGGGATAATCGTATGGTCATCCATGAAATGGAAGATGAGCGAAGCGAACTTCTTCACGAGCTTGAACATCTTCGGGCAGACGCTGTCGATATGAAGCTGGAAGACATCAGCGGCATTCTTCTTGGTGCGCTGAGACCTGCATTCTCCACCGACTTGATGATAAGCTGTTCCTTTTGTTATAGATATTCGTCGTATTGCGGCTGAACATCAAACAAAACTCGACACCCATCTGAATGCCGTTCATGAGAAGGAATTGATGGTGGCTTCCGCGACGAGTTCTCCTGTCAAGGTATGTAATGTCTGCGCTATGACTGACCTTAAATGGGTCTTACGAGACTCCTATCCTTTTCCCTCAACATCATTCCGCGATGCCTCGTCACGTAGAAATCTCGCAAACGCGTCATTGAAGAGGTAGATTGGGATGAGGGTTCCGAGGTTGAGGTTGAACCTCAACCCGCTACTATTCACGTCGAGGCGAGCGCCCAAGCAGACGCCATCGAGGAACAGGCATCTCCTGTCTGGGGGAGGAGGACCCCATCTCCACCTGTGGTGTCAATTTCTCCCTGCGTCATCTTGGAGGAGGCGTTAAACACTCAACCTCCTCCAGTTGTCCGACTCGATCGATTCGCTGACATTGACGGCCCTTCACCTGCTAAACGTGCGCGAATCGAAATTGTGATCCCTTCTGCGGCGGGTGTTCTAGCTGGTGCTGTTGCTGGGGGTATCCTCACCTGGGCTGGGCTGGCTTATGCCTGAAGAGTCTCGGGGTCTTTCAATGACCGTTCTTTCCTGTCTCATTTCCTTTCCCTGTTCCAAGGGGGGGCTATTCTAAATCCAGGAGTAGGGTTTTTTTTGCACTCCACTACTTCTTTGCTAACGTCTCGGTTCCCTTCCGCGGTCTCGCTCTAGGCGATGTACATTTCTCCTGTATCCTCTCGTCTTTCTTCACCTATATCGTTCACAAATGTTTTTCCGCCTCTCCCACATGTCTTTGTCAGAGTTGTATGTCTTTCATTTACTGCTTCCCACTTGTATGATCACCATCACATGTCACTGTTGCCGAAAGTCGTCTTTCCCGCTCGGGCCTCCACTGCCCGAGGAAGCTCGATAAAACGTTTCCCATTTATTTTTGTTCGGTTCCTGCATGTTATCGTTGTTGTTTTCATTTTTTTCCCTCTGTTGTGGCCAGTACCGTGTTTCCGTTTCTGTATAAAACACCTTCTGTGATCGAATGATCATGATATTGATAAAACCTTAAGTATTATCTTCTCCCTCACATACATACCTCTCCCTCACGCGCCCGTCCATGAGTTGCGAGTGTGTACATAGCACGAATTTCGACTGCAAAGGGGCCGGTTGTTGAAGACATGATTCTGACTGCTCTGTGTATGTATGCATGCATGTAGGGCCACATGGACGTGCTATGAGTTGAATATTGATCCAGGAATCCGGGGGGGATATGATTGTGAATATCAAATATCAAGACGACATAGCAAAAGGCCCGTATCGTATTACTTAACGTAAGCGGAAAGTCATTTCGCTTATGCATAGTATATACGGCACCGAAGTGAAGTGGGGGCGGAATATAGCATCGCGTCATCATGACATCCGGTGCCATATGGTATCAGGGCCACCAGGTTGTTTAAGTCGGCTAACATCTGGTAACCCAATAGTAGGTAGGCCGGTCTCCAATGGGAGCGGGGAGAAGGGACTCGACATGCAAGCAAGATCGGCGAAAGCAAAAACATGTATCAAGTAGTGTGATAGGGCTACGGTAAGAAGTGGATGTGCGTAAGTTGTTGTGCAATTCAGCTCGTCGATCTCGCGAGTTAACCTTTGGGGAAGGGAAGTGAACAGAATCGAATTGTAAGCGCTGCTCTTTGTTGCTTCCACGTTTACACATAGCCAGGAGATGTAATACGGATTGAGTTTATAAGCCATTGAATGAGATGTAAGTCGGACACCATCGACTTCCTCCCAGTTCCCTTTCCAGGGGGGAGCTAAGAAGCAGTAAGAACGGCGGGATCGGCAGGGAGGAATTTACGTACTAGCTAACCGGTCCCCTCGGGTGGTGGTGACGCGCACGCGCACGCGCGACGACGACGACGCCCTAGCTATAAATATAAATGGCAGTTGAGAGGACGTTCCCCTCACGCGCGTCATGTCGGGAATCCTTTCAATCGACCTTTTAATTTCAGAGCTATGGTAGTTATTCAAACCTAGGAATGGTGACAGGAGGCGGAGATGACGGTGCCTAGAGGCACAAGTTCCATCAAGTTGGTCGAGACACGGACTGATCGAGTTGTTGGAATCGAGAGTTTTCTCGGGGTGGTGAGGTATAGGAAGCAACCAGAGGAGTACTGGCAGGACCATTGTACCCGTACCATATTGCCCATCGTTTCTGAGTCAACTGCTATGCATGGCTCCTTGGTTCATGTTGTGTTTTTGCTTCTCCGCGAGTTGAAGGCCCGAAGCGCGGAGAGCCTTTTAGTCACGTTTTACATACAGTATGGAATGATTATGTAAGCTGCAAAAAGGTATGTAATTCAATTTCAACGTCGGCAGTGTGCGTCCCCTTCGCAAAAAAGCAAGTGATTGGGTGGCGTCGAACCGCAGTTGAACCTTTCATGAAATTCAACTTGATCCAAGTACTACTTGTGTGCACACGCGGGTTATTCACAGGCATCAAGCCACCCGCGAACATCTACTGCGCAACCCTATAGCACTTGTCTATCGTTCGTTCTTCCCCCGGCCCGGTCGGCGTTCATTTCCACACCAATATTTTTTTTTGATGGCCCGCCCATTGCTCTTTATGCAATCCCACGGTAAGCCACGTCCGCAAATGCTGTTTGATTATACATATGACCGATTTACGAAATTGAAAACCCCTGGACTTGCCATTTGCTCTCCGAAGTTACCGCATAGGCTTGTATTTTGTCGTAATAATAGAACAGCGGTCAGCCCCCTATGCACTTGCGCTAATATAGTGCCAACCGGAGTAGCGAGTCCTGCACGGACAATACAACAAGCACCCCGAAAATTCCCGTACAACGTTCCACCGGCCAGCAAATTAGTGATGTGCGCTTGCGTGCATATATATACATTGCAAATTAATTCGAACCAATGAGATCATTATGAAGTAAGCACCCATATACTATATCTATTCCATTCAAGTTATCAAGAGGAACCGCCTCTGTCAATATTACCACCAGCCTGAGCGTCCCTGCCTTTGCCACTTGTGTTGAACCTCAAACTCAAAAACAAACCCCACTACCTCACCACAACGTCGATGGGCGGTTCTAGCATCTACAACGCCTTCTGGGGTAAAGACCCTCACAATCACGAATATCGTGATCCTGGTCCGGACGACCTTAGGAGTCCTTGTCCTTTCTTGAACGCGCTTGCTAACCACGTACGTGTTTTTACCTTTTATTCAATCCGGTTGTTTCATTCGTCGTCGTCGTCGTCGGCGTTTTTTTTTTGATGACCATGCATGGTGGATGATAATAACTGATCTTTTGTTCAAAAATGTTCACCTCCTTTGTTTGTTTGTTTGTTTGCTCGCTTGCTTGCTCGTGCTTCGTTCGGGTGGGTCAACAGGGTTATCTGTGAGTGTGATGTCTCCCCTTCAATTGGTTGTTGTTGGATCGTCTAACACGACATCCCGCACCACACACATTTTTCCCCATACGCAACGACGACGACGACTGAACAACGATCAGCAACCGAGATGGTCGTCACATCACCTGGCTCGGCGCAACTCTCGCCATTCGAAAAATCTACAATTTCAGCTTCTTCATGGCCGGCTTGTTATCTTTATCCGGATGGTTCACTGGTTTGACTCAAGCTTGGAATCCATTCTGGTTCGATTTGAAACAACTTAGGATTCACAAATCGTATTTGATCGAACATGATGCCAGTTTGAGTAAGTAACTCGTCGTTATGACTTACATAACTGATTGACTCTTTCACCCCGCCATATTCACACACATACATACATACAGGCCGTGAGGACTGGCCAGGCAACAATTGGGAACCAAACACTCAGCTCATCGATGCTCTTATATCTCAAGCTTCCTCCCCTGAGGGACTCTCCCATGAGGATTTCGCTCGTCACCGTGTTAATCAAGAGAAAAAGTTGAACTATAAGCTTAGTAAACCTAGACATATTTTGGCAACGGGAGAGGTTGGGTTGGTCATCCCTGCGTTGGGGAGGGGGAGCGATGTTCCCAAGGAGGTTCGTCACCATTTTCTTTGTTTCCCCCTTTTTTTTTGTTCTTCTGACCTCATCTTATATCCAATCATTTAAAAAAATTGCAGAGGAAGATATCGCTTGAATGGGCAAGGGCATTCTGGCAGCATAATCGTCTTCCAGTTGATTGGAAACCTATAGATAAGACTGTGCCTTTCCCTGTGGTGAACGACGTTGCGGCCATTGTGAGGGATGATATGGAGAAGATTAGAGAAGGAGAGAGGGCAAAGTGACCGAAGGCAAGCAAAACTCTGTGGGCGGAGGAAGGGCCTGGTCGATTCTCATTGGAGATTCGATCATAATTGCGTTTTTTTTTTTCCTTTTGTTTTCTAGCCGTAGTTGGTCGATCTCCTAATTCTGCGCCTCTACTACGCGGTCCCTTTGTGTACGTGTCCGATTTGAACTACAGGTATATTGTACTGCCAGTTGCGCCAGTGAGACAGCGAGACAGTGGTGCACTTTGATTCAACATCAGTGGGGTGAGCGCGGTTAATTTCCTCAAGTACTTAATTGGAGTCTGTCCCCAGCCTAGGAGTAAGAATCAAGGAAGCACTGCAGTGATGAGTGCCAATGACTGCACTAAATATTAACCTTTATCCCCGTGAGAACCAATTCAATCCCAAAGCCGGGTGAGGCCGTTTCACAAACCGTGAACGTCGTTGTAGGTAAGGCGCATCGATTGATGTCCTCAACACCAGGATAACTGTACCTTACACTACAGACCCATCCTCTATTCCTTGGGTGCGGCTCTACATCCCATTTATTGCCATAGGTGGCATATTTGGTGAGCCCGAAATCCGTTGTTGGCATCATTCCCAGCCCTGCACCTAACAGACCTTACACCACCAGTAGTTTCGCGGTTTTACATTCCTTAAGGATTTCCCATATGCGATGATCACCTACCAATGCCAATGGTGCATAAGAACATTTTATTTCATTTTATTACGGAGTACAATTGCACATAACATGCTGGTACTGAATTGGTCCAGCCCAAAAACTATGCTTGGCACTACTGGCCACCAAAAGACGATCAAGGGCTCAAAAACATAACTATGGATTCCCCAAATTTCATCCAGATTGACCCAGCCATTGTGGAACAATGGTGGTGGCGATTTCTCATCTTACCGTGAGGTTCTGCACAATGTCGAAAGGCATGTGAGGGTGGCAGTGTCAAAAGTCCCATGCAGCAGAGCCAAGATCTGTACTTCGGGAGATCGCGAAACTGGTTTTTGGCCCAAAATGGAAATCACAAGCTGTACCGAAGTAAACAAACAACCAAAATGCACTCCAGAGTGCTCAGAAAAATTCAGAAAAATCACAAAGGATGCGTATGAAGATCCAATTGACACAGGGACTCTTGCAAACACTTTCCAGAATGTCTAACCCTGTGCATGGGCCAATTTTACGATTCTCACACCCGCCACTTGGTCAAATCTCAACCATTTGGGACAAATTTAGTATCAGGAGAAACCTATGAACCCAGGGAATTGAATGGAGAGGTTGGGAAAGGATGCTATGGGTACGAAGAGATGGATGAGTGTAGTGTGATGGTGGAAATTGGTGGAGGACTGTCAGGGACAGCTCCGAAAGTGGCAAAGTCCCAGCACGAGGGACTCGGTGGGACAAGTATCGGCTGTGTGTAGCAGCAATCCCATCGTGGGGTGAGCATCCCTGACCACTTAGTCTGAAGTGGGAAATTGAGAAGAAGGCTACTTCTTCTGTTCCCACCCCAGGTGCTAAGGTGGTCAGGGTCACATGGGGGAAGCCATGTCATCTCTGCACACAGCTGCACTTCTCTGGGTGTCTCTGTGGGAGATCCTGGAGGTGTGCTGCTGTGCAGGTGGGGATGCATGTGGCAGGTGCAGCGATTGGGGGAGTGGCATCAGATGTGTAGTGATACATAGAGAGAAGGGAAGTCGACTGTAGAACAGAAATAGAGAGAAAGAAGAAAGGGGAAGAAGGAAGAAAGAGGAGTGGTAGTGGGGGAGCGGAGTAGGGCAGGGCGGCGTGGGGTCAGGCAGGTATGCCCTGACATCACCCCCCCTGTCAGGGATGCGTCCGGGGTCGAGGCGGTCCGGGCGTAGCGTCCGGTGCTGAGGACCTCACGGGGGCGTGCGTACTGGCAGGCCCAATGTGGGACAGCGATCCCTGGCCACTTAGACTGAAGTGGGAATGTTGAGTTATTATTAAAAGGGGAACTATGCTACTTACCTGAAGTGGGAATGTTGAGAAGAAGGTTACTTCTTTGGTTCCCACCCCAGGTGTGTTTATATACATGCGGCTTGGGTCACATGAGGTCCGCCACATCACCCTGCATACAGCCATGGTCACCTGGGTGTCCCCGTGGGGGATCCCAAGGGCGTATGCTGCATGCGCGCGCACTAGGTTGCGCCCTAGAGCTGTCTGGGGTCGTCCGGGGCTAGGCATGTCATGTGCGCATCACGGGCGGGTCAATAATACATAGATATAAGGGAAAGGTCGTCCATGTGAAATAGAAATAGAAATAGGAATAGAAATAGAAGTGGGAGAGGGATAGAGGGGGAAGGGATATGAAGGAAGGGTGCAGGGTGGGAGAAGGGGTACCGGGTGAGGTGGGTCCGGGTGGAGGCAGGTCAGGCGGGTGTGCCCTGACACCCCCTTAAGCCACTTCGCCTCGAAGTGGCCAGGCGGTTCTCTTTTTCTCTCCCTGGGGTGTGGGGGTGTGTTTGATGGAACTCCTCAACTAGGTCGGAGGTGTGGGTGAGGTGGTCAGGCGTGAGCCATTGGTTTTCCAAGTGTGGCCAGCCTGTATACTTTACCAGGTACTGGAGTTTTCAGCATAGCCACTTAGAGTCCAGGATTTTCTCAACTTCATACTCCTCTTCTCCATCTACAAGGTCTGGGCCTGGGTGGGGGTTGGCAGGGTGTTCCGCAATTTCATCAGGGCAGTGCAGTCTGATATTCGTCATGGATATGTACCACTGGATGGATCCCTCTTTGTCGGGCAGTGAGCCAGAGTTTGATGGCGGTGGGGGAAATGACTTTAATGATTGTGAAGGGGCCAGTCCATTTATGGTCCAGCTTCTTGGTTGGGTGGTTGGTTGTGTAATTATGGGTGCTGAGCCAGACTCGGTCACCTTCTTGGTACGTAGGGGCTGCCTTGCAGTTCTGCTTGTAGTAGTGGGCCATCTTGTCTGCCACATGCTCTAGCACCGCTTTCGCCTCTTCCTGCATCTTCATCATTCTCGATGAGAAGGCATCAGCAGCTTCTACCTCAGATGTGCATGTGGGCTCCATCCCCATTCTGGGGTGTTGACTGGTATCAAGCTCGAAGGGGGTTCGGCAAGTGGAGGAGTGGATGTGGTTATTGTAGGCAAATTCTGCTAGCAGGAGCCAGTCCGCCCAGTCATCTTGGCGGTGGTTGACAAATACCCAAAGGTAGGCTTCTACTTCTTGGTTTACTCATTCCATCTGCCTGTCTGTCTGGGGGTGTGTCATATCCATACAATCCCGACCTCCACTCCAGGCTCCTGGAACTCCGAACCTGACTTCCAGAGTCCTACTTCCCTTCTGCCACCTCCTCCTTGCCGACTTCCAAGAGGTTATCCCACCTCTGGCTCCAACACCACCTTTGGTCCGACTCCGGAACATTCCGGGTCCGACCTCATCCTCGACACCTTCCAGATGAGTACGCAACACCTATGCTCCCAACTCCGGACCTCCGCTCCGGAATCCCGTTCATGTCTCTGTCTCCGGAACCTCTGGTCTTAGCTCTGACCTTGGACTTTGACCCCACCTCCACTTATACCCATTGTATTGGTTAGCTCATTCCATTTAATTACGTTTGCCAATATCCCAGAGTTTAACTTCCGAGTTCGGACTTTCTGGACTTATGTCGGACCTTGCAACTATTGCATTGCTCCATTCAATTCCGCTATTCTCCCTCATTCCTATTTGGGCTGCTGCTTCCTTTCTATTCAGTCAGCTGGCCATTCCCCACTCCCATCCTCCTTCCTTCCTCCTTGGGCCTTGGCCCTTCACTCCTCCTTTGGGAAACACCATTGAGTCAAACACTTGACCCTCGGTGTTGTTCCTCCTTCCAGCTCCCTTTGTCTGCTTTTGGAGTACCCTTGCTCCTTTTGATTCCAGGCCCCTCCTTATATACAATGTACATAGTAACTTGTAACCTCAGTCCGAAATCGACTTGAATTCCCCCAAGAGACTTCCCCTCTGCTAGATCCGAAATTAGGGACCCCTAGGACAACCAGCAATGGCACAGCGCTTCACATGAGTCACTGAGGCCAAGGTCCTTCCACGCTAAGTCTCCGATTCCACTCCGGAGTCGTCTGAATCCACCCATTCTAACAGGGTGGTAGGGTGTCAAAGGGGTGAGCTTGACACCAAGGAGGTCCACGAGTTCTTTCGAGAAGTGTGAGATGAAGGTGCTCCCTCTGTCGCTGAGGATTTCTTCTGGGAGGCCATGGTGCTTCCAGACATGTTCAAGGAAAAGCCATGTGATTCCTGCTGAGTCCACCATCATCACTGTTGGGATTGTGTGGATGCATTTGGACAGGCGATCCACTACAACCAGCATGGCATTGTAGCCCTTCGACTTGGGGAGTTCTCCAATCATGTCCACCGAAATCACTTGCCAGCAGCAAGTGGGGATCTTGTTTGGGATAAGCTTCCCTACTTTGTGGGAGGGGAAGGATTTGACACGGTTGCAGGTGTCGCATCTGCAGACATACTGCCTGACATACTGCCTGACATACTCTGCCATTTATGGCCACCAGTAGTCATGGGAGACAAGTTCCAGGGTTTTCCACTGCCCTGGGTGTCCCATCGCCCATGCATCATGGTGCAGCTGCACCAAGTCATGGCAGAGTTGCGGGTCTTTCGGGATGTATACCTTTCCTCTGTACAGAACCAGCTCTCCTTGCTTCTCCCACTCATCCGACCTCAGTGTGCCCTCTCCAAGTTCTCACATCGCCTTCACCACCTTCTCATCCAGGTCCTTCGCCCTGCTGATCCTCTCAAGGATAGTCATCTCCTCGCCTTCCACTAAGACTGCCTCCACT